GGCCCAGAGGAGACAAAGACACACAGTAAAATTACCCAAAAGCCTGTTCATCCGCAGACAGTTTTTTGTCTTTAATGAGTTTACAAGTCTTCTTTCTCTCACTGTAATCTATGATTCTGGACATATTCCAATGCAGCGCTCAGTGTGTGTGTATGTGTGTGCATGCTTCTGTTTGCTCTTGGCAGCCTCAGAATTGCACCCTTTTTTCTTTTCATTTCTTTATCGATGTTTGCATGATTATTTGCTGACGGGTAGTAAAAGAACCCAAACCACTTTTCTCGTTGGGTGTTCCTTTAGTTTTGTCATTTTCTTCTTTATAAAGAACTTAGTAGTTGCACATAGTTTGACTTGGTTCCAGTATTTACTGCCGGTCACAAAGTTAGTTTGGCATCTCATCTCATAATTTGTGTTGTGGCTAAACCTTCAATTCATATAAACTATTCCAATACTTAAAATATCTAAATTAGAATCCTAATTAGCAGCAGTGGATGTGGATATATTCAGATTTTTTTTTCTTTTTAATGAGTTAGCTTGTGCGTAAAAAATACAATAAAGTGCAACTTGGCCCAAATAAAATCCAGAGGCACCCTTTTGATACAGGCAATTTAAGATTTTGTGATTAGGTCTAAAGTGGTTAAGCAAATCCAGCTGAAAAGTCCCACACCACAAAATAATTTTTTTACTTAATTACCACCTGTGGTGTATTTGTGTATGCCTAATTCCTTCTTTATAGGTGTTAAGAAAGTCCATATATGGTTCCTGTTGACACCTCTCTCTATCTGCACTCCAGGATTATTCAAGCGTTGTGAATATTTGCACTTTTTGTGACATTAGAACACCAAATTTCAATGTATTTTGTTGCGATTTTACATGACAGACCATCACAAAGCAGTGATGTGTTATAAGGGATACAATTTTGGTTTTTAAATGCTTTTTAGAAATACAAGTGAAAAAATTTACAATTCATTCAGCTTCAGCTCTTTTAACTACCATTTAATCAGTAAATAGGACCTAATTTAAGTTAAGTTTCACTGCGGCTGGTCTATGATAGTCTCAGAAGTTTGTCAGAGAACATTAGTGAGCAGGGAAGATTGAATCAGTTAATTTATTTAACAATGTATGAGGCTTTGAACATTTTATGAACCATTGTTAATTCGGCTCTTTAAAAATGGAAAGAGCATGGTACAACTGCAACCTGCAGATTCAGAATAAATTGAATGTAAGTCAGTAGTGGTTAGACTAAAATTGAACTTTTGGCCTTAGTGAAAAGCATTAAATGATTTGGGAGAAATTTACCTTCCAACAGGAAAGCAACTCTAAAACAAGAATCGCAACGGCATGGCTTCAAAGTTTATCCATGTGTTAGAAGGACCAAGTAAAAGTCCAGACCTAAATCCAAATTAGTTCTCAGTCTAATATGTGGCAAAACTTAAAAATGTATGTTAACCGATTCTTAAACTATTAAAGAAAGATGAATGGGCAGAAATTTCAGTCTGTACATCAGTGCAGAAATACCACAAACATTTGGGGTTATAAATGCAGATGGTTCTAAAACTATTTATTTAGAGGTGATTAAATACAGATTTATGTCTCACTTATAACATTTTTACTTATGGAGAGATTTAAAAATGCAAGATTTTCTTTTCGGTATTAGCCTTCAAGATATGATTTTGCACTTTCCACTTACATTCAAAATGCTATGAAAAAGATTTTGTGAAGAACTGGCAAAACTGTTTTAGACTTTATTTAAAAGTTTCTCTAAAATGTTTGTAGATGTATTCACAGCCAAAGGTGGTTCTACTGAGCTATGACATTAAACCCCTATAAAACACATTGACGTTTGTGGGCGTTACAAAACAACATGTGGGGATAAAAAATGCTTTGTAAGGTCATTTTGAAAGCTGTAGAAAAAGTTTTCAGGGGGTTGGGAAAAGAAGCAAACATAAAAACTTCTGAATGGTTTTCTGGAAAAACAAGTTCATTTTATCTGAGAAGCAGGAGGATTTTCTCCCCTGCAGTTGTTACGGGATATGTCAAACCGTTTGCCTTCTCATCTAAATAATGTCAGTGTGTATGCTGTGTGTTTGAACTAATCATTGCCCTGTGGGAGACATATGCCTTTGTTTTAATGGTTAATTGTTTACTTGGAGGATTGCAGTACCTTTGAGTCACCCTTTTAAGGCTCCTGACACGTGTACATACACCGTACTGCAGAAACACATCAAAGAGACATCGGTGCACAGTCACAAACAAGCACACATGTTCATCCTAAAACATAAACAGACAACCCATTCTCTGTTGCTGCCGTCTGAGTTTGATTTGTCTCATCATTTTCAGATCTCAGAAACGGCCCAGAGGTTGAGTGGGTTGGTGGTTTGTTGTTGGTGCCAGCACGCAGCTGGTTGAAGGGGAAGTTGAATGGCACCACAGCTTTGGTGGTAAAGTGCTTAGGCTCAACAATTGTGGTTCAAATGTTTTCCAAAAAAAAGGCTAGTTAAGTCAGAAGCAATACACTTTTAGATCATACCACCCTGCAGGCAGCTGAAATCTCATCTGGTAAAATAAAGGGCAGTTCTGAATAATCGAGGACAATAAAGATTTAAAAAGTTGTGCAAATAAATCCCTGGCATAGAAATAAATTGCACAATTCTTTCATGATCGTATTTGAACATGTTTATGTTTATTTGTTCTTTGCTATAAAGACTTCAGGGATTTTGTTTGTCATTCTCCTCTTAGTATTAAAGTCGATACTGAGTCAACACTCATTGAAAAAATCACATCTGTTGCACTGAAAAGAAAATCTACTAACAAGCACTTGTATATTTTTCTTTTCAAATCTAGATAAAAAGGTTTTAATAGCTCAGAAATCAGAAATATTCTTTTGCATCCAAAAGTTATCACAAAACACTGTCCACGTGTCAGAGACAAGATCTGCAACATAATGACAAAATGTTTGTTTGAAATTAAATTACATCAGATTTATATAGCACTTTTCAATCCTCGAAGGATTCGTAAAGATGCTTTACAATGAAATCAGTCATTTCAACTGGATTGTAGCCACAGCAAATACATCAAGTTGATATATATTAGAAAAATTAAACAACTCTTAGCATTCTCTTTAAAGACTAATAAAAGATTACTAAATAAGTAATATTTGCTCATAATTTTGTTAAATGTCTCAGACAAAAGCACTGTACTCACTACATTATTGTTTCTGCTGAATTTGTGGGAAAAATTACATTACAGTGCTAAGAACAAACTAAGTTGTTGTCATTGTTTATAAAACAAACTTATTGTAAAATAAATTCTGACACAATAAATAAAACCACATTTGAATTAAAAACAAAATGTGGTAGTATTTTTTTTTATTTTTAATCCGGCATTTTGTTTTGTATACTACGTGCAGCATTGAACATATTCATTATAGCCAAAGCTTTTAAATTTTTTGTTTGAATTTTTCTTTACCAAAATCTAGCTATGCATTCTATAACCTTCTATAGCTTTTGGTCTCATCTTTTTCAAATTTAAAAAAAAAAGAAACTTCCTTCAGCTAAATTTCATGGATTCCAGCACAGCTGTCTTGTATGTGTAAATAAGAAGAATTGACATTCAAGTAATCTCACCTTTGCTCCATGTCATGTTTGCACAAGACCCTGACAATAGACTCAGGTCTGTTTCACAACACAGTCTGTGTGACATGAACCTCAGATTATGTTGCAACACTGGTAATCTCTGGTGTAATTAATATTTAGTTTCAACAGTGATACTGGGCAAAATGCACAATGTAGAAATTTACTTCAGGTTTTGTAACATTTTTATGTGCTGGGCTGTTTTAAATGCATGAAAGTCAACATTACTTTACTATTTTAAGTTGTTAGTATGGTTGCCTTGCAACAATAAAATTCTCTGTTTGAATCTTAGTCAGGGGCCTTGACTCGTTAGTTTGCATGTTCTCCTTCAGCATATGCTTTTCTTTCCTTACAGCCTAAAAACATGCATGATAATTTATTGATTCTCACTACATTACCCTTAAGTCCACCCGGGTGTGGATGTTCACTTCTGTGATGGACTTGCAGTCTTTCTATGGTGCCTATAGACATGGGCAACAGCCAGAATATAAATGACTGTGGGCTAAAAGTGAAATAGTGACAACTAATAGGCTCTTCACACGGCCTCTTGAAAATGTCTACATCTCAGCCTCTTCAGAGATGATGTGCTCTGCCAAAATAGTGGCTATCAGTCTGTTGAATTAATTCAAATGTGCAGAGGAATGTGAAATTGAGAGTATATGGAAAAGCCAGGGGACATGCAGGAGAGGACAGATAGAGAAGTGAGAGCGCGGATAGAGTAAATAAACATAGCCGGGAAGTGTTGAGTCCACGCACAGGACGTGGCTCGGTTTGTGTGTATTTATCAAGCCCAGCTGGCTCCCATTTACCCAGGAATGAGTCTGCACCTCTCAGAGGCCTGCGCCTGCCTCACTTTGAAGGTCCCTGTGTTGTCTCTGTGTTTGAAAAAATCAGCTTCATTAGTGGACTGTATGGTGTCTCTGAACACATACAACCTGTAATATTTACTGCATGTGTATCACATGGATGTCCTCTTATGTGTACATTTTGAACATATATTTACTCCCCAACTCAGACACACACACACACACATGGATCAACACAGATTTCACAAGCTTTCACATAGACCCCTAAACAGCCACGAGGGGTTGGATTTAACTGCTTCCAGATGGAGGTTTAGGACAGAGCACTCACCAACACACAGACAAAATCTGGCTTTGTTGAAGTCAGCAAAACTACTCTCTTCTAATTAATTAAGTGCTGGTAGATGGGAAATGATGGAAATACCTTCCCTGTGGATGTTTAATACAAAATAAAATTTGGAATCTAAAAAGGGATGCAAATCCACTCTATTTAAAATAGATATTTTGTACATTGCCCTCTTTTTTAATGCTTAACCATATGTACCTGTTTGTGTGTTTGTTTTTGCAGATGAAGCCTACACCTACACTGAGCCCCTCATATTAAGGGTGAATGGCACCCCTGAAAGGTTATTAGATGGCGATGGTGATGGAGAAAGTTGCAACACAACGCCCAACGACAGCATTACATGTGAGTGACTGAGCAACTTCTTCAGCACAAACACACATTCCCTCATTGAGACACAGTCAGAGAGAGAGACGGATCTCTCTCTGATCGGTTTCCATTACTGATGGCTCTTCAGATGAGTCATGTCCTACTGATCTTTAACTGATACAGTCACACACCCCAAAGAAATAGGTCAGGTATTCACAAACACACAGTTAATGTTTGTACATGACCAAATCTCCACCCAAGTCTGAACTTAGAGGTTTATGTGCAGAACTCTTGACTTTTCCACTTTTCCCAATATTTTGAATGATGTTTCTTCCTGCCTTTTCCTCTTTTGGAAATTGATAGTTAGAGTGTCAGCATTTCTCAGACTTTACTAATCACTTAGGATTCACTGGACGTATTGGTCAGTCAGATTATAGATAACAAAATAAGGGGAAAAAAGCAAAGTCCTGATGACTTATTAAGTGAGCATATTTCCCCAGCTTCTGCCTCCCATTTATCCGTCTTTATTCACACAGAGGCCTTTTCAGGATTCATTTATAAGGAAACTAGATTACAGGCCACTGAAAAATTCCTGCCTCAGGATATTTAGCAACTATTTGCAGCTATGGTGTGTGTGCAGGAAGATGGAGGCTCTTTTAAAAACAATAGCAGACTCATTCACTTATTCATTAAGCAACCAACACCCTGCTTCCTGTTTATTTTGTTTCATACTTCTTTTGACTACAGGCATATACAGCTGATATTATAGTGTCTTGAAAAGTATCCTCGCCTCCCATAATTGCTTTCAGAAGTGTTAAATATAGTCCACATATAAAATGCTGTTGTTTCGTGATGGTCACAAATCTGTCCTTTATGGAAGAGTGACAAGAAGAAAACCATACGTAAGAAAGTGATAAGAAACCCTATTTTGAATTTTTTCACAAACAATGTAGAAAACAAAGCAAACATTTAAAAGAAGGTGCACAGATGAGACAGAAATCAAAGTTATTGGCCTTCATGCAAAACAGTATGTGTGGCACAGAACTGACACTCCTCACATAAACACATCATGTGTCACAAGTGAAGATGGTGGTGGCAGTATCATGCTGTGGGGATGTTTTTCTTGATCAGTTACGGTCAAAGTGGCCAGAGTTGGTGGGAAGATGGATGGAGCTAAATGTAGGGCAATCCTGGAAGAAAACCTATTAAACCAGGGTTGGAGGTTTCGACTCTATCAGAATAACAACAGTCGGCGCAGCAATGAAATGGTTTATTGTCCATCCAGTGGTTTGCAACATCAGAAAAAGTTGAAAAGTTTAAGGTTAATATTTTTTAAGGGTGGGGTTGTTTGCTCAGAAAGTTTGATTCAAGGCAAATTGACTTTGGGAACATTCTTGCTGTCTGGCCATTGTTTGATCTAAAAGAAGAAAAAAAGTATTTGGCCATTTTTCTCTTTGTCCCAGAGGGGAGTCTTACTTTGCTCTAAATGTCAGCAAGCTCTGGAATAACTTCTTAATTGCATTTGTTAAAGAATCCAAGGTTTTCTTTCTCCTTTTCTATTCATGTGTAAAGCAGTTTTTGTCTATCCTGGCCAAACCAAATGTTCCACTTTTAATCCATTTAATGAGAAATACTAATTTTGTGTCATTTTTTACTTATTTATTTACATACGTTCAATATTCTTCATGAGATCTCTGAAAAGCTGCATCTTTCTTTCAACCTTCACCAACAAAAGGCATCAAAAATCCAAGCTTTCTTTAAACGCTTTATATCATCAACCAGCGTCTCTGGCTTTTCTTTCTCAAGTTTCAAGTCTTGTGGTTTTGTCTCGGTCGTAGAGAGACAGACACTGTCTTCTTCGCCTTGATGTGCAGTCACAGTCAAATTTCTGAACCAGAGCCAAAGGCTACGCACGTCATGCTGTGCCATTACTCCACCGCATTTATTTTTTGTGCCTTCATTTTCAAATAAAACTTCTCAACCTTACTCCTAACCTGGTTCTGTTACGTCATTTATTCCTTCAGAAGACAAGACTGCACAACAATAACACCCTCAAAAATGTAACAAAGTTGTTCTCATGCTTAGCCGCTAATCCTACAGCATGGTGAAATAATCTAAATCCTCCTTCGTGGCCTGAATTCATCCTCCCTTCTTTGCACGGAGAAGAAGAGAGATGATTTAAGTGAGTGAGTGGTGATTGAAAGGAGAAATTTAGGGGCGAGGAAGGGGTTATATAAGCTGTCATCTGAGTATGTGTTAGAGAGCTGGAGCCCGAGATCTTTTCTTTGAATCCAAGGCCAACTATAGGTGACATCATAATAGCTGGTTTGTGCTAACTGAATAACCAGCATTTCAAACAGGAAGTGGATAAATGGATAAGTAGGTGAACACAGCGTTCTATGAATAAAGTGGATGAGTGAATGTCTACTCTGATTCTCCTGCCTCTACCTGTCCCGTCTGAGCTTTGTCTCCACTTCACATTCTTGTCTAAACATTTTGAAGCCATTTTTTTTCTTTTTCAGGCTTTTTCTCTGCGTCATTTTGTTTCCCAATGTGAAATAAGTGAAATTCGCCCGCTCCATATGTTCTTCTGGAAAGGTTATCAAACTATCATATTTGCACATCATCAAAGAATTCACCCCTGTGTTGCACAGCTTTTTGCAGCCCTTAAACTTTTTCAAATGTTTTCATTTTACAGCCAGACATTTTGACAATTTTGTTTTCATTTTGGAAGAAATTTGATAACTTTGAAGTGGAAGATAAGTTATGCAAGTGTGACGCGTATGTACCCCAGCTCCATGTCTTTACAGCAATTCCACATTCACGTTTTGTCTCCACCAGCTCTGCACTTCAGCAGACAGCAAAAGTGCACATCTGTTCCTGTTATTTTTGCTTTGTTTTGTCTGTGTACTGTGACTCGTGTGTTCTGTGAGAGCACATTAAATGTGGACTGTGTCATTTTCAAGCAATAACTCAATAATGTTTGTACAATATTTTGGCTTTGCAATGAGTGTGTAGATCTTATAAAAAAATAAAAATAAAAAACCTGTGACTCAGGCTTGCTGTGAGATCACGGCCTGCTGACATTTGCAAAAGCCCGTGTGTGGGTCGGTGCACAGAACTAGCGATGATGGCGTGTGTCTGGCTCCAAGTGCGTGGCAAGCTGTCTGAGAACAATGTGCAGAGAGGTTTACTAACATATGGGGCTGGCTTAAACACACAGTAAAACTTTTTGGCCAGGTGATGTCATGAGCACGGTGTTGTCTTTTACGTCACTGACGCAGCAGGAAACTCATGTTCACAGATGTTTTACTACTCACAACCGTGACTGGAAACAGTGAGACACATGTAATTAATTACTGACAGGATCACAGTAGCATTTATGGCGTAATATTTTTAGTTTGAGGTTTTTTTGTTTTGTTTTGTTTTGTTTTTTACAGCATATTTTCAGAGCGTGAGAACTTAAATTATGGTATTTTGATTCCTCAGGAAGTCAGGGCACACACTGAGAGGAGCTGTTTGCTATTATCTTAATCATCAAAGCAGAGCACTCTGGTAGCTGTTGTTTTGAGGATGGACTCAAAACACAGATGGACTGTGACGTTGCTTTTGATTATAATCAAACACAGAGACTTTTTGTCCACTGTTTTCCGTTTCTGTAAAACTGACTAATTCACCTCCTTTTCCTCTGGCTTTCTTCTTCTGAATTTGCCATCTGTCATGTTTAAACTCCTTTCACGTTGTCTGCCAAGCAACAAGACACAGACTCATGTTGGAAAGTCTACCTTTTTAGGGAGTAATGTCTTCAGGACCCTGTTTGGAAGAAGTGGTTTGTTGATTAGTCATTAGAGCTCCTGGGCATTAAGTTGCACCCTCATATGTTTTCATTCAAATTTAAGGCCTTTTCTTTCAGGATTTACACAGCGTTTTTCTTTATTTGTCAAGCACAAACAAATAAGCCAAATAAAACAAAAAGTGAATGAAGCCGCCTATTTATTCTCTGACTAATTTTGATGTTTTTTTTTCCCCAAGTGAAAACCACAAGTGAAAACCACAAAAGAAAAAAACTGATTGTTTCAAGCACAAAAATGTTGAACATTTCTGTCAGATGATGAACCGAGACAGATGTTCAGCTGTATTTTACCAGACATATCAACAGTAGAAAAGATGGCTGCCATTTTTTTGTGGAGGAGCATACCTAAATACGTTTTATATATTATTATTTCTATTATATTTAAATTTTTTAGTACGACTTAGTTGCTAAAATGACAAAAGTGAATATGTTGTCAGTAGAGTTAAATTACATTTATTAAAAACAGAATGACTAAAATATAATTGTCTGCATCAAGCATGTCGATGTTAGTGCTTCATATGGTGCATTCACTGATTGAAAAAAGATAGGATTTTTGAGTTTCCAACTAACCAATTATCAATCAAGGCTGACCAACCTGCAAATCCTTTGCTGTTGTCACCAGACAAGTTAATGTTGCATCTCTACAGTTTATGTCTTTTCATAATATTCTGATTAATCAAGAATTGGACTAATCCTATACAGTTTTACATACTGAAAATATTATCGATGGCAAACCATTTCTTGCTAGCTAACAGATTGCTAAGAGAGTATAAGAATGTTGTTCACTCTTCACTAGGCCTGTCATGATAACTAATATTGCTGGACGATAAATTGTTTGAGAAGTTATTGCGATAATCGATAATATTGTTGTTTTGAGACCATTTTTAAGTGATATAATGGTAATGACAAAATAAAATTGAAAGATCACATTGTAAAAGATCAGTAAACTTTACATTTTAATGAACATTTAACATTGGAACTGGAAGACATTTCAAATATCCAAAATAAATAAACAAAACAACAAATAAAATGAATTTTGAAGTCTTAGTACACAAATCTGTCCTTCGACAAATGGCTGGTTGAGACCAAAGCACCAAACTGAAGACTTTTATGTTCCAGGATTTGGTAGAAAGAGAAAAAAAAAGAGATAAATAATAAATTATGCCAATGGAAATAGTTGAGTTTGTTTTAATTTATCATGTGATTAATTGATTTATTGATTATTATGACGGGCCTACTCTTCACCTGTCAGAGATTTACAATCTGTCCCATTTCTAAAAAGGTTTTGACACAAATATTAATGGCAAAGTTGTTATGTGTTCTCATATTTCTTGGACTGAAAAGTTCCTGCAGATCTGCCACTTGCAGTTGTATCATCCTCTGGATTTTGACTTATGGTGCCTCTAACTGAATACTGTTTTTATTAGTAAGGGAAAACAAAATAAGTCTAATGTACACTGTGAGTTCTTAAGTCACTGAATAACAGCCAGTGGTGTCAGAAATTGTTTTTTCAAAGCAATACTGAATTAAAGCTCAGCCCTATTCATCAGTACTGGGTGAAACAGTTAAACTCTGTAACTCTGTAAGAAGCCCAGTAAAATCCAGTAGTACGGAATCTGGGACAAAATACAGGCACTTTAGAAACATTTGAAATTGTTTTTAATGTTGCATAAATGTTGGGAAACATTTTTCTGTGAGCCAAACTCTGTCTAAATCTACATATTTTTCCGTATTAAGAAACAATTGTGAGAAAACAACACGGTATTATAGTTGGCATTCAAAATCCATTCAGAATTGATAGCTGGCAGAAGACACTTATTTTTTTGGTCTAATTGTCATGGTTTAGAGCCCATGTCTGTAGCTAGGCTCTCCTGCCAACGCAGAGAAACTGTGGAAGAGACAATTAGATAAAGACAGACAGAGACAGTCATGACTCATTTCGGCTCAGGAGAGAAACAGCAATTCTCTGATCCGGGGAGGGAAGTGTGTAAGTACAGGGTACCGGAGAAGCAGGAAAAGCAGTTGGAGATGGAGGGTGTGAAGATGGCAGAGTGGCCTTTAAAACATTGTGACTCACTTGCTTCTTAGCTCAAAATATCTGCCAATATGTACATAAAGCTGTTGTCCGGAAGGTTGCAAGACCCTCTTTGAGTCTTATCACCACGTTCATGGCAAACACTCAGCTATCAGAAACACATTGTGGTTGCTCCACCTCATCATGTTAATGCCACACTCACTTGGCTTTGAATTTGCTGTTATTTTTAACCAGCCTGCATTGCTGAATCATCGTGTTTATGAGTCACACCCATAAATCATCCTGATCCCAAAAATGCACAAGAAGTAACAGCCTTCAAGTTTTTCTCCCTTTTTCTCGAGCCGTCTTTCTTCTTCATTTTCTCTCTTGCAAACAAAGGGACCTTGTGTATTTTTTCCCCTCCCTTCCTTTCAGTGTGTGCATGTGCAGTGTGTGTTCACACGTGTTCTTGCATGCATATATTGTATGTGAGTGGGTTTAACCTCAATCTCTGTTTGGAGACAATCCGGACTCGGCGTCTCTCTCTCTCTTTCATTCTTTCTCTCTCACTTTCTGTCTGCCTGCCTGCCTGCCTCATACTCCACTTGCATACAGATACCATTTCAAACATCACAAGCTCAGAAACATGAAATATGAGTTTCTCAACAGCTCAAAATTCCACTGGAAATACTTCACAACAAAGAACACAATAAAATGCTCACAGCAACTTTCATTGTTTCGCAATTTGTGTGTTGGCGAGCTGGGAATGCTGGACAACTATGCGAAAGACTAAGGATAAAAATAAAAGGTTGGAAGATGAACACACATAAGAGGAAGAATATATAACTGAGAAGAAAAGAGCAAAAACAAACATAACATTAGACAGCACCAGGTATTAACTTTTGACACACTTTGGAGAGAGAAGAATGGCTGCTTCTTCTAGCTTTCCAACTGCACACACACACACACACACACACACACACACACACACACACACACACACTGGCCCTACAGCGTGCCAGACATCTGGAGCAAAGTTAGAAAACGCTGAATGAAAGAATCTTAAATAACACTAGATTGTTGTATGACCACAACCAGCAGCCAATCAAAGCATGCCTGCGTGAGTTAACTGTCTCCAAGTGATTATCAAATGTTCTTTATTTTCTCTCTTTTCTGCCTGGCTTCTTTAAAAAGCAGCACTCTGTGGCACAGGGAGGTAGAATGAACAGGGCATTGAGTAAAGATTGACATGTTTACATTTATATGAAGTACTTTTTTGTTGATATATTGGTAATTATACACAATATACTGAGATTGGTATCTGCCGGTTTTAGCCATTTTTTTGGCTATGCAAAAGACATGGCCAAAATGTCTTTTGGCTGTATATATAGACACATATAGGTATCAGTTCCATGAGCATAGTTGATTCAGTTTTTGCTCAGAGATGTTTGCTAAATTAATCTGAGATTCTAAAGTTGTCCCTACATTGCAGAAAGCTGCAAAATTGCACAGTGTGGGGATTTTTTTTCACATATGTTTATACTTATAGAATTTTGAGTAAATAAAGATTTAAGATTACACTGCTAATACAAACTAATGTTTAATTATCTTTCTTGGTCTAAGTGTTTGTATTTTTGTTGTTTCACAGCTCAACCAGCAGCAAGATCCACGCCCATCCATCACACCCAACCTTGTCGGTCGCAGCCCGGCAGCCTGCTACGCAATGGAGTCAAGAGCCATGAACACACGCACCCCACTCAGACGCACTGTCCACATCACATGCACACAGCACACCTGCCCGGCCTTCAGTCCAACCCCGTCAGGAATGGCGGCTCTCACAGACATCCCAAGCTGGGCTCTCTGCCGAGAGGAGGCTCCTCCACCTCATCGTCATCTTCTGCAGGACCCAAACACACCAAGAAACTGCGCTCAAACCCCTCCATCACATCCCAGGGCAGTAAGAGGAGCAAGAGCAGTTCAAAGAGTAACAGCTCCCAGATTCCCACAGATGCACAGGATGGTGAGAAACAGATGAAGATGTAGAGTACTGCTAATGAGAGTTTGAGGACAGTGAGAAGAGACTTCAGGCAGCAAAATCAAACATTAGAGCTAATTTTAGAAGTACTGAGATCTCATGCTACATTAATTCAATTTATTTCAGTCCTTCTCTCCTTTGTAGTAACATCCACAGTACTAAACTTTGGTGAATTTGACCATTCTCATATCTAAGCATTGCTGTAAACTTCTAGGAATTAAAATGCCCTCATGGGACTGTTTGGCCCATGAGGTCTGTTTGGCCAAATTAGCCTGTATATTTGAAAACAATTTTTGGAAAGTAATATATAAATTCTGGGAAAATACTTGCTAAGTTTGGGAAGGCAACAAGTATCTTTTGTTTTGCAAGGAAAATGAAAGTATCTCTAAAAAGTACATGGACAATTTGGGAAAGTAACATCTAACTTTGGGAAAGTAATCTGTTTTTTCTGTAGATTCTGCAGAACAACATGCAACATTATGGGAAGCCATTAATGAAACCAGACCCTAAGGAAGGATTAAAATATATATAATGTATTTAGGTTAGAGATTTGTTTTAATTTTAATTATGTTAGCAGAATTTTTTCAAATAGGCCTAAAACATGAAATGATTTCTAATGTAAGACATAGAAAGACCAATAAAGGCATTCATCTTGTCCCTTTCCATGCAGACTGCTGTGTTCACTGTATCCTGGCCTGCCTCTTCTGTGAGTTCCTGACCCTCTGCAACATTGTGCTGGACTGTGCCACCTGTGGCTCCTGCGCAGGTGATGACTCGTGTTTCTGCTGCTGCTGCGCATCGGAGGAGTGCGGTGACTGTGACCTGCCCTGTGACATGGACTGTGGCATCATTGACGCCTGTTGTGAGTCTGCAGACTGTTTAGAGATCTGTATGGAATGCTGCAGTCTTTGCTTCTCGTCCTGAGGCATCCAGCCTCTGCCGGACCGGGAAAACTTGACGTCTGCTATGCAAGACATAGCCAGGCCCAGGAGCAACTAAGATGAGAAGCAGCACTACACTCGCTCGGTGTTCCCTGAGCATCGGGATTGAAAATCTATCAGTGGATGTAACTAGCTCTGTCCTACTCATTCTACAGGGTTTATAAAGCAAAAATATGTGACCTAATTATTTTCTTTATTGATCACACAGGCTCCTTGCTTTGTCTGCGCTATTGATTCATTCTCACTCAGTTGGCTGTGCAGGGCAGAGACAATTTCAGCACTGATCTGTGAGTGCAGACCAAGCCTCTGTAGCTTTTCTGAACCAGCTATTATTACAATGAAACCCCCAGCGCCGTTTGAATTACTGGAGTTCTTCAAGCATGAAAAGTGACCTCTAAAGGCAAATGAGGAAATGGCTCCATTTAACCGGATTTTAGTGTTTCTGCAGATAAGAGCAATGGAATAATGGGGAACTGGGCTCAGATCTCAGTAGAAACATAGCTGGTCCTCCTGTCCTTGGCAAGGGTAAAGTCTTGATTGGTTGCTGTGGCCTTTCTGGAAAACCTGTTAAAAGAGAAATGTCACATCCTCTGGTGTTTTTTGTTCTTGTTTAACAGAACGTTGAAATCTTGACTTGTTGCAATATGACACACAAATCTCTGATGGTAATGTGCTGCTTTCCTTACCTGGCTTAATTACAGGGGAAGCATCCTATATCAAGCTAAACATTTTAACTTTATGAGAATCTTCATAAATGGACATCAATGAAAACAAATGATCAGCAATGAACATGTTTGTCCATTGTTTTGTGAATGGAGAGCATTCTTATGCAAAGATCTCTCCCAACTTAACATTTCAAACTTTGTTTACTTTTGCATTTCTTATCGAAGGACTTTTTTTTTTTTTTTTTCAATGGATGAGAGCTCATCTGCTTTCTAATACATTTAATTTTTCTATCATTTCTTCCATGTGAAATGATTGCCTTAAATAGTCTTGGATCAGCTTAAAGCCTGAATTTCCAAGTCGGCTCCTTGCCTTTTCCAAATCTCCATTAATCCTTGTTTGGTAGATTTTAGTTAAGATATTTGCATTTTTTATCTAATGTAAAGGGGGGGGGTGAAATCACATTTCTGTGTTATCAGTTTTTAACTGGGCTCTCTGTAAAGCAGACTTAGCTCTTCGTCTAATTTAATTCCTCCACTGAAAATCCTATGAAATTATGCTAAGTTAGATCCATACGCTTACAACATGAATGGTACAGTTTTGATAAAAGCCATGCACAGTCATGTGCTGCAGTGCCTACTTTCTTTTCAAACCAATACCTCTTAAGATTGCACTTAGATCAGTTGTGCATTTTAAAGAGACTTGATAGAAATCTTTTTCCCTCTGGTTTAATACTGTTTGAGAAATCCTCTGCCTTTGCTCCTTTGGGACTTTAGTCTTCAGGTTTTTTAATTACTTGTATATAGAAGGGCTAATGTGCGACACTAATGTGTTTGATAAGGACCTATTTTATGGGCTGAAATCTCACACTGATAAAGATACTCTATTGTTGTATTCAACTTGATTGCATCATAGCAGCAATGCATTTGCTGTTTTATTTTCATATAATCCAAGGAGTTTAAGTAATGCTTGAAATGATGAATCAAACTGGATGTGTATGCCCTGAAACTCGTTTTAAAGCCTGGAATGACCTGGAAACAGCAGGATTTTCAGGATGATTTGTGCAGATCAAATCATGCCGAAAGATGAAATGTACAGAAATGTCAGACATGTTAGATATATTTGCAAACCATTCCAAGAGCAAATTATAATTATGGTACTTCACATAGGGAACTATTTTCTGTCACCAGACCAAGGAAGCATTGTGCTAAGTCTTTCTGCTGAGTGTGCAGTCATGTCGTGTATGTATACAAATTAAGTAGGGAACCCAAGACAACTAACCCCATAATTAATGTTACAAAATAGGGTGAATAACACAAAAAAACAGGAGGCAACACAAAAATGACAAAACAAACAAGAAGAAATAAGGAGTTAAACAGAGCCAATTATGGAAATGAATGTAGAGTTAACAGATGACCTTGTTTTAGGCACTGAGGTTAGCAATAGGCATAATTCTAACATCCTGATATCAGTATTAAAGCAAATAAGAAAAACAATTAAAACAAAAATAATAGGTAGTTTGTGTTTGCAATATGAAAAAAATGCGGGTATGAAAACTTTTGCAAGGTATTGTATGTAAGCGATACCCAAATTATGAGTCATATTACTGGTTAGGTTGATAGTATAGCAGGAGTTTCACCTACCATGTAGATAATGTGCTACAAACTACCTGTTAGGAAGGCCTTATAAAACTTGCCTATCAGTGATAGATCTGAGTTTTACAGTGTAAAAATAAACAATATCAGACTATTTTCAATTAAAGTACGACAAAAACAATAGGAAAAATGAATGTCTTGCCTCAATATCTTTTACTGAAATTATGATTTGTATGGTTTTATAATCAAATCTCGTGACGAAGACTCTTCTTACTTTATGTAGTGATGGAGAACACAATCTACACATCCAGGATATCCTGAAGGATTCCTCCCACTGATATATACACTCCCTGTATAAAGTCTATTAGATAGAAACTGGAATAGAACAAGCTTAATTCCTTAATGCCCATGTTCAGTATTATTAGTGCTTTCTTTAAAAATGTTTTCTTTGATGAGTTTATTATGTGATCATACAATAAAAGTTGGACTCAAAGGGCTGGCTGCTTCTGCTCTGAATGAATCTGAACGTTTTTTTTTTTTTTTTTTGCCCACTTGAGGTTTTTTGGGGGTTTTTTTCTAGACTGTATAATTCATCATAACGTCATTTTGTTTACATTTTGTTTACTGTCCTGGAAGTCGTATTAAGGTATCTATGTGTAAATCTGAATAAACAATGTGAACTATGTGTGTTTTTCATTTCTTTTGCTTCATTTCTTACATATTTATTTGAAGTCTGCTGTGTGTCATTCACAGGCTGAGAGACACTGGCCACCCTCTGTTACATACAGGCCGTGGGCTGAGTTCACTTCTAAGAGCCACACAGTTTGGCCCCGAGGCGAGTGCCTGTAAGAGGGGGGTCAACTACTGTTCCTAACATGTGTGAGGGGAGCACAGAGAGGAGAAACGAGTGTGTATTCAGGAGGCGACTCTCATGAGTCGGGTCAGACAGAGAGGCAACTCAAAACGGCTCAGTGGGAGCAGTGACATCTCTGGACATCTGCAACTGTTTTGCAGAAATCCATTCTGCAGTCAACCCTAATTTCCTTTTCCACCAACACACACACACACATGCACGCAAACACATAAAAATACATACACAAGCTGAACAAATCAAAAATGATTCACTCCTCCCTTCGCACATTTCACATTCACAAAGCAGACACAGGGGACAAGTGGCTATTGAATATTAACCATGAAATTACAAAGACTGCATTCTAATGGAGGTGATGAGGTCAGAAGCTGGGATGGAAATCATAAATTAATACCCCTGACATGACAAGCCACTCGCCCTTGGCTCCTGCTGAACCTCCCTCCACTGAAGTCAGAGAGAGACACCTAAAGAAGGAAATGCTCGATTTATTATTAATAGCAGGTCAAAGGATTCCCACAACAGACAGGGGGACTCATACAATATGCCTGATACTTTTCTGATGTGATTATTGTATGCAGCCACAACCATGTAACCTTCATGTGCGGCAACATCTGTAAAGGTTATTATTCAATGGTATTATGGGCTCTATTTTACCGTGAGCAATTGTATTTCTTTTGAAATCTATCAATGCCTACCTTTCCTGAGTGCAATAGACAGGCAATACAATGTTTTCATGGTTGCTCAGACGAACAATGCAAGAGCAATGGGCTGTTTGGCTCTGGATGGCCTTAATTTGACATTGATTGGACTAGAAGACAATAATAGAATAAAATGTAAAGATCTTTAGATGTTTGTAGCATTTCTGTAAGTATAAAAACTTCTTAAGTAAGCCTTGAACACGTCTTCATCACTATAAACTGCTGTGTATTTCAATGGGCAGTGACGCGATAAATCAACACAAAGTAATGCAAAACTCAAGCGAAAGGCAAATGATGCATGCCTTTCAGTTTTTCTTTTCACACAAACATCTTAAATCAGCTTGCTTATTCTATTATTTTAAAATGCTAGTTAAGTGTTCTCCTTTGATTTTATCTGACGTACTTAGTGCTCTGTTTATGAATTTACTATGCAAAGAGAATGTATTTGAATTATTTTTATATATACGGAAACATCAAGTTTCCCCGTATATACGATGTAGCTAATTCTCTTCCTCATGAAGAGTTTTGTGTGTCGACCAAAACTGGTGCCTGTATTATGTTTTTAGCAACAGGGCACTTTGAACTGCCTTGTTGTTGAAATCTGCTACACAAGTAAACTTGTCTTGACTTGTAGTTTACTGCATAACACACACAGCTGAATCTTTGTAAAAGCTCAAAACACAATAATCATAAAGCAAAATAATCCAGTGAGAAACTATATCATAGAGATTAAAATTTTACGGCTCTTTTAGAAAAGCATGAAAAAAAATCTTTTTTTCCATCTAAATTATAACCCAGTTTTTTATTTATGTGATATAATTTCTGTCTCAGCTCTGATAATGTGATAAATACGCTTTCATACAAACTTTTCTCTGGTGCTGTGTTAGCTAGCCAGCTGGTGGCTGTAATTGCCACCATAATTACTGAACTGCTTGAGTATTTCAACATCTGATTTTTACCTGCTTTTGACATGTTGACTGAGCTTTCTAATAGTCTAATGAAAAATTGCAACTCTGTCGAAATTTGCTGCAAACTGGTCGAGCAACAGAAGACACACACAAACACACACACACATATATAGGCTATATATATATATATATATAGCCTATATATATATATATATATATTATCCTATGATAGGAGATTTTTGGAGGCTGGAGCAGGATTGGGCTCATTCTTTGTATAACACACCTGAATCTTAAATCAATGCAATAAAACTCCGTTGCATTTAAGCACAGTATGGGCTCCTTGGTTACACATGCATGCTGAAGGAGGAAGGTCCCTCTCGCTCAGCATATGATGCAGTGTGCTTCTTAACTAGACCACCCAGAGTGGAGGGGTGTGTCTGATACATGGCATATGAACAGTGAGGCAGATCACATGCCAAGCCTCAAACTGACTATAGTAAAAGGACTGAGCTTATATTTGTGATTTAAAACTCATCGCGCCATATTAATGCATTCACAGTCACAAGCACCAATGCACAGATCAGTAAGCCACTTGGGGTTGGGTCCACATCAGCGTGTGACAAGAGGAAGCTGTGACTGAGCCTAGAACCTTTTGATTGGAAGACGACAGGTCTACAGCTTACAGACATTTCTCAGATACATTTATATTAAGGCTGCATATCATGCAGCAGTGTTGTTGTTTTTATTTCTTCTGTTAAACATTAGACATTTCCAGGAGCTTTGGCTATTGTTTGAGGTTTGAAATACCCGCCTCAAAACATGAACAATTTATTCCTGTGTTAGCTATTGTTATAACATTTCGGATATATGACTGAGTATAAAATAATTATAAACTAAAACATGAAATAATAATAATAACAGGGATATTTTCTCTCTCTGAGTCTTTAAAATCAAGTATGTCTTGCATACTAACACTAAGTAAAAAATACAGCGTATTCATTGTACTTTTGGAAAACTATTCATGCCTTAAACTTTTCCCCAATTTACATTAAAAACACAAATTTCACAAATATATTTATTTGGATGTTGACGTGATTGAGTCAAAGTAGTGTGTGGTGTGTAATGTATGGGGGGATTTGCTGTTTGTTCATAATGTCAAGCAGCCGAGT